TAATGTATTTATAAGGTTGTTTAAAAATTATTGATTTTTTTTATTTTAATTAGCTGTTTAATTACTTTCTTTTCACATAAAATCTATTTGAGACTTGGTAATTGTTGCATATTATATTTTTTTATATATAAATTTTTATGCATACAAATTACGTTTGTAAGATCAATTTGAATATAATATAAAATTGAAACAAAAGTTTTATAAAAAGTATACGTAAGCCTACTTAAAACATAAATGTCTACAATTAAATTTTAAATGTGCATGTCTACTATTATAAACAATAGCTGACCTCAGCATTTTCGATTGATACAGTTTGTGACAACTTAAAACCTTTTAACCTTGCACATAGAACCATTTAAGGTCAAAGTGAACAGCTTTAGAAGCTCTGACCAAATACAAAACCTTTTCCAGGGTATATTTTAGCAATTGATTCCAGGAAAGTAAGCAGATGAATAGAATACGTTCTTTATAAGATACATTTTTTTTTAATGCAATAAATGCTTCCTTTTAGGCATTGATGTTGTAAGATATCCTTGTAAGATGTCTAAATTTAAAAAAAATACATTTTCTTCACACTTTTTTGTGTTGTCATTGCACACATAAACCTTTTTAATTTATCTGGTGCAACATAAAACTCGAGTTTAAGAATATTGTTTCTGCATTGTCCACAATGCAATTTTAGCTCATTAAACCCTACTATTTCTTCCACATATTTATTTGAAAACTGTTGTTTCTGTTGTGAAAAGCATTTTATCACCTTAGTTATAAAAACGGTTTTTAAATTTCCAATAATAAAGTGAATCGCTATAGAAGAGAAGATTTCTAAAACAGGTGAACCATCTGGTAGATCTAGCAAAACATTTTAAACAAAGGCTGCAACAGAAAGTTTAATTTTTTTTCAGTGAGTTTTACAAGCCCTTGTTCGGCATTATATTGAATCATATCAAGTGTGCTGAAAAAAACCTAGATTAAAATACTGAATAAATATAACCAACATAATTTTTTAATTGTGAAGAAAATTTTTTTAATAATGGTAAACCGATTCCCAATTATCTTGCATGATCACAGATTTTAAAATCCTACATGCCTTGCCTTAACAGTTCACTCCAACTGCAGGGTTAAGTAGAAGAAGCTGGTTTAATGCCAAAATAAATATTAGAAACATTTAAATCAAATTTTAAGAAATATTTTTTTTCGGAATCCACATTAGATTTATTACCTGATTGATTTTGCAGTGATTCTCTTTGACATTTTGATCAATAGCTATGATAGATTTCTTAAATTCTTTGTTTTTGAACATAGTTTACGTATACGTCATAATTTAAACCCATAGAACGCGGTATAAAATTCATCTACTTCACAACCAAGCATACTTAAACAAAAACTTAAAATATTTTTTCATTTTTTATTAATCTCTTTTTAACGAGCTCCAGAGTTTTTCAGTCACGAGAACAGATATCAGCAGGGCCGGCGCGAGGGCAATGCAAGTTATGCGGTCGTATAGGGCGTCGTCGTGGCTGGGGCGCTGCGCTGGCATAGCCAAGGTTTTTTTTTCTTATTTTTTTTTTTAAATCATGAAAATTTGAAAATTCGATTTAAAAAAAATAAACTTATATTTTTTAGCATCCATAATGTGTATATACTGAGTTGTTTACATATTAGGGAAGCTAAATTTTATATGCTAGACCAATGATTTTTTACTTTTTTTCTCAGCACTTCAATGAAAAAATAATTAGATCAAGGATAGCTGTTAGTTATTTGTTTAAAAGAATAAGTTTGTGAGTTAATTGTTAATTTAAATCATGTAAAATATTTATTTAATTGTAAACTCAAATTAAGGGGCGCCAAAGTTTTTATTTCAAACTATTGATTTTGTATGTATTTGCTTCTGTACTTCAATGAAAAAAAATATGTCATCATGGCGGAAAAAAAGAAACCTTTATGTTTTTTTTTATTGAAAGCGCAAATCAGATATGAAGAGAAAAGATAACAAAAAAAAGCAAATACATTGATTAAATTTTTCTATAGACTGGAAGAGCAAGATCCAAATAATAATCAGCATCAATTGCAGATAAGATACTATATAAGAGTAAATTTATTCCAATTAACTTTGTTAATGAATACAAAATAATAATAAGTTAAAAAGATAATAGGTTACCCTTTGTTTAAGCCTTAATAATCATTGTTTTCTATTTTTATAATATTCTTTTCTTGATGTTCGGTGTTAGGTTCGGTGCACTTTTAAGCATAATTAAAATCATAATAAACAAAAAAATAAAACAACTTTTACTTTAAGTGTAAATGACGTCAGGAGAAAATTCACAATCTCAAGATTTAAGAGGCATTCTTGATGACGCAGTTGAAGCTGATTCTTTTTTTGTACAAATTTTATTTACAACCAAGTACCAGTAAGAGTAAATCAATTTCATTTTTATTTAAGGTTTCTCAAAAAAATAAAATGTAAAAAATACTATACAAAGTCTTTTTTTAAAACAAAAACTTTAGTTTCAATTCCTCTCATTGTATTGTGCAATTCCATGGTACTCAAGGATTAGCTAATCGTGAAACAAGTTAAAACAAATTCCAAAAAAAACAATAAAAACTTTAAAAAAATTTTAAACAAATTTCAAAATTTGACACTGTTCTTTTTGAACATCTTCGTCGGGTAACTGCCTAAGAAAATCATGTACATTTTTTAAACAATAAAATTCAAAACGAGTTTATTGGTCTTCTTTCCTATATAGTTATTGAGTTTATCTTGTGTGAACTTCAAAACTTTTTGTATTTTTCTATAAATTTTGGCAGAACTTCTAACGTAATTCGTAAAGAACAAAAGATACATGTAGTTTGATTTGTGTATGCAATAGCAGGAAAAGAAGTAATGGTGAAGGGACATAAAAGAACGCAGGCGTACAAAAAAAAACCCTTAACCTTGACCCACGAGCTCTTTTTGTTTCTTGTAATAGCCATTCACTAAAACTTGTTGTCAATGATGCGGCATTTTCCTGCACTCTAGCTGTTAACTTTTTCAGCAATATTCAGGAGATTTATAACTTTTTTTCTGGATTGATCCTTAAATGAAGTACATTAACAAATTATGTAAACAATTTGACTATTAATCCTCCAAGTAAACCCGTCGGGAAAGCAGGATAGCCATTAATTCTTTGCGATACCACATTCATGAGGTTTATGATGCTCTTTAATCAAAATATTTTGAGGTTGATGCTTTTGGAAAATGTACCGCTATGGGAATCGCCAAAAAAAATTACAGATTTCATTTTCTTCTGCTCTTCGGTCTCTCGGTATTATGTCTCGTTCAAATTTAATTTAGTAAGCAAAACACTTAAGAAGAAAACTGTTAATCTGCAGAGCGCTTTGAAACTATTTAAAAGTGTCAAAACTTTTTTGGAGAACATGAGATCGGAAAATTGTTTGTATAGTAATATAATAAATGCTATGGAACTGGTAGAAAAACTGGGCATCAATCCAGGGCCGTCCCGAAAAGATCTTAAAGAAACATTTGACTACCGCCAAATATAGATCCAATTTTGCCAACTCCAGTGTCCAATATGCCAATTAATAAATTTTGTAGGGCGGCTAGTCACCCTCCTTCTCTCTCCTTCAGGACGCCTCTGCATCGATTTAATTTTCTCTGATGAAATTGTGGTCAAGTCAAGAAAATAGAACGTTTTAAAAGACGTAAAAAAGACGTCTTTTAAACGTTTCGGACGTCTTTTGAACGTCTTTTGAACGTTTTGGACGTCTTTTAAACGTTCAAAAGACGTCTTTTTTTGGTCCGGTGCCCACTGGGAATTGATGAAAGATTTGAACAGATGGAAAATCGCAGGAAACATTTTGAATTCCTCTATAACATGAAAAATAAAAAATGTGAAACAGATGCAGTTAAAGAAAAGTACAAAAACTTGCACTTCGTTTTGACAGTTGATGGCAAGAGTGACGTCGACAGGAATGAACTGTTAGGTGAAATTATAATCTTAGCTCCAATATTGCCGAACAATAGAAGTAGCGATAGCTTTCCCAAAACAACATTGTCATTGTCAATATTTTCAAAACTGTTTGATTGACATCATCAAGATAATATTTCATTATTATCATTAAGAAAATATTTGTTGACCAAGTCTAAATTAAAGATAAAATAATTAGAAAGTCTTGGTTTAATAATTTTTTAATTTTTTGTCTTTTTTAAAGCAAGCATTGCACATTTTACTTCGATTATTCTTGTGGTTTAATGAATGAGTAAACATCCTTCAAGTACTCCTGGAAGAAAATATCTAACATGGCGGATTTTTTGCACAAATCGCATAAAACAGTCAGTTGCGTAATTATAGTCGAACTGATACTCATTTCTCTCTTCCTTAAAATTACGAAACATTTTTTAAAAATATTTTTAAGATGCACCAATATTTTGTCAATTTCTTTTTGTTTTTGTTTGGATTCGATGTTCGATTTAATTTATCTCCTATAAAATTAAGTTAGGAATTATTTCTTTTGAAGTAGCAACTAAAATATTTTAAAACCTAAATATTTGACATTTGTTAGCTTTGCGTTTCTTGTTTTTTCTTATCCTCGGCAGCCTTATTTTGGGGCTCAAAATCTAGAGTTCACCTGGGAAATCCAGATATACATAAACCCTAGTTTTAAATACAAAAGAATGCTGGAAGCGCCTAATTTTTTTGTCGGTATTCAATTTTTGTTTAGTTTAAAAGTATAATCATTAGCTTAGATAAATAAAAATGAACAAAATATTCTTGTTGTAACTCGATGCTTCTATAAATTTCAAAAATAATATTAATTATAAATAAAATAATAAATAAGTAAATTAATAAATAAATAATAAATTGTTACTTTGTTAATAATAAATTGTTTATATAAATATAAGTTAAGGCAAACAAATAAGAAGTTTAATACAAATATTAAACAAAATAAATAACTTTTATCCGTAAAATTAAAACACGTAAAATTAAAAATACTTAACTTACCTTTACTTGAACTAGAGAAGATTTTGAAGTTTTAAAAAAGTGATAAAATCTGCAACAAAAGCAACTTTTTTAAAAAAATGTTTTACTTAATAGATTTAAAAAAATTTCTTTTACACTTTAACATGTTTTTTTGAGAATTTATGTAGATCATTTAAAATTTCTAGGAAACGTTAAATTCTAAGAAAAACCTTTTGTTTACAAAAAAGCCGCGCTAATCTTATAATTTATTTATACCTAATAAAGTATTGATTTACTATAACGCAGTTATCTTATATAAGCGTAATAAGCACTTATCTTATATAAACGTTTAAAATTAATTCCTATTTTTGAACTCGCATTTGTTGGTTCAAAAATAAGTTCAAAAATATAAAGTATCAATGCTATCTATTATATATTATTGCCAAACCTTATAGTGTTAGTAGTAGTAGTGCGCTTTCAAGCCTGTTTGACACGGTACCCTTGGCAGCCATTGCAAGCAAGGTAATGGCGAGAAAGAGTCGCAGCACTTTGTTTTATAAAAAAGCGTGAACGAACTCGTATCCAAATATTTAACATACGTAAACTTAAAATTAAGTAATGTTAAAATATACTGAAACATTTAACAAGTTTTACAATTTGATTTCCACTTGAAACTTGAATTGCGTCAAGCTCTCCTTAATTTTAATCTATAACATTTTTTCTCTTAAAAAAATCATTACATTGTTTTAAAAATATTCGCTTAACCATGTAGCTTACATAATGTGTATATCTATGAAGAATAAATGTATGTAATTTTTTTTTTCATTTGATTGCAACTGCAACTGTAATATCTATTTTAATGGTGTATATTTAGCAAAACCTGTAATCGTGGCACGAATTTATATGTCAGGGGAGGGGAGAGGGTTATTTTTTTCAATATTCTATATTATATTTGCAAAAATTTATGTTATATTTTATAATATTACCACCAATATATGTACTTAAAATATTATTAATATTTTTAGATAAAATACTCAAATCGTTTTCTCTTATATGATGGTGTAATTCACATTTTTTCCTTTTCTAAAATAAAAACTATTCTGTACATTTCATAAATATTTTGTACATGAATTTGTATGAGTTACTATACTAAAAAACAATCTAATTATTTTAAAATCATTGCCCAATTTTTATAAACTTATCAGCAATGATTATTTTTATAAACTTATCAGCAACAATAAATATATTTTTTTTAACTTTCGATTAAATAGTTTGGTCAAATACTTTTATCGTTTGTAAAAAATATGTTTTCAATAGCAGATGTTTAATTGCGACGGTATAAGTAACTTTAAAATTTATGAACTTGTTTTTTGAAAAATAAAATGCAATAGGACTTAAGTTACGTTTTTACAAAATAAAGTTAAAATAATAATTTTCATATTTTGATCTTTAGCTAGGTTTTTTGAAAACTTGGGTAATGTAAGAGAGGGACATGCAAAATGGCCCAGGTAGTGGACAAAACAGTTTTTTTTTTAAGTGTGGCAATCGATAAAAAATAAGAAATATAGAAACAATATACTTTACACAGTAGAAATAAACACTACAACTAGCATAAAAAGGTTGTTGCTATGCAAAATATTTTATAACTATTTATATAAAGGAAAAAGTTGGTATTACTAAATCCTTTTTTATTAAGACATGCAGAGCAAAGTGACCAAACAATCAATTTTTTTTTTTTAGAGGCAGGGCTTACATTTACTTAGACTTGAATTATTTTTTGTGTTGTTGCTATATTAAAAAATATAGCAAAAGCATATAAGGGCTATTCAAATAATACGTGACATTCTCAAATAGGTGATGATGGTGTGTTTGTAGGAAGAGTGTTACTAAATATCACGTGGAAGAGGGGGTGGTTAGCCGCAGTGTGACATGACAAAAGTTTAAAAATTTAAATTCTAATCACAGCGGATTATTAAACTTTAAACAAATAAGTAACAAATTTAAAGATATATTTATTTAAATATGTCACGTCACGAAGAGGGCGGCAAGAGATTATTTAAAATGTCACATATAAAAAGGGAGGGGGTTGAGTCTAAAAATTGCAAAAATAGTGTCTTGTAGTATTTGAATAGCCCCATGTAGCATATACGTGTAGTTACTTTTAAAAGTAATAGCATATATAGCATAGAGAGTCAATCTATTTTGAATATCCATTAGAAAAATAATCAATAATCGAAAATTAGAAAACTTTACCAAATAAGAGTCGGTTGGTTTTTTAAATGAGATATTTATTATTAACAAAATGCTTCACATTTATAATTGTGAATATAAACATCACAAGCACTCAATAAGAACTATTTAAGGCATATTTACCCAAACCCAAATGGGTAATACATATTGTATTATCCTGAACTTATATAAAATAACTATGGCTTCTTGTATGACGCCATCAGTGAATGTCCATTGGTTTTATTTAATCATTCAAATAATTGTATACTACATTTATTTTAATACTATAATTTTTGAATTGTTTATTTAATTATTTGAATAGTTAAAATATCAATTATTTTAAGCCTCTGCTTTTTCCTTATTCTTTCTTAACAGTGATGAACCTAGAGTTTATATTTAAGATACCCTTTTGATGTGACGAGTTATAAAACCCTAACTCTGCTGCAAACCTTATTTGTAAAAATTACTGGCTAAATGAAGAAGCTAAAATATAAACAAAAGTTTTTTTAAAAGCTAGTTTTCTTTATATTTTAGCTGGTTTTTTAAATGAGATATTTATTATTAACAAAATGCTTCACATCTATAAACTTTTCCATAACATATTATGAAAAATATATTATTGCTGTGTGACTATCTAGTAAATATAAATCTACATTTGTAACTTCGATGCGTACAGTTTCAGTTGTATTAACATAATTAATAAAAATTAAGTTTGAATTAAAAACCTCTTGTTTTTTATTAGTTTTTTCAGTAATATTTCTGATTGAGAAATTATGGTGCCATTTTTGCACAAAAAAAACATTTTTCTTATATTTGATATAAAAAGTTTGACTCATTGAGACAGAGCAAGTATTGATTCAATCAGAACAACAAGTAATAGGTTTTCAAAACATTAAAAACAGTACAATCTAATAGTTTCTAAATAGCTACAACCAATGTGAACAGCTTGCTTTAATTTCAAGAATTGTAATACTATTTTCAAAAGCAGTAACAATTCTACTGATTTGTAAAAAGCATTCCATTTGGACTAACTATTGTATCAAGGAATTTTTTATGGAATTCCTGCTCTTTGCAATAATAAACTAAAACAATGAGATTTTATATAGAAATAAAAAATAAAGATCTACCAAAACAAAATAAACTATTACAGAACATGTTTATTATTTGCAAATAACAATATTATTTACCAAGAAATTAGGCTTTAAAAAACAATGCTCTTTTTTTAATAATTTAAAATATCCATAGATATTATTATTTCTTGATAATTGAAATAATTAACAACAGAGCAATATTATTCAAAATAATTTTAGTATTGTTAATACCTCTGGATAACTAAAAATATCAAAAAAACATAGCATCATTATTCAAAGTAAGTTTAATATTTAGGTCATAATACTTTGTTACGTTAATAGCCTGATTACTCAGAGATAATTTTAACATTATTATGTTTTGAAATAGCCTTGTTCTCATTTATAAATTAAAAAATATATATATTTGAAAAACTAATGAATAAATAACATATTTTTTTGAATATTGCATCTATATAGTGGCACATATATTTCCCCTCTCTCGCACACAGAGAGACTCTCTCTCTCTCACTCTCTCTTTATGCTAGTTATGCAAGTTAAAGTATATGCTTCAATAATATTATTGTTTATATATTTGTATAGTATAGTATAGATAGTATAGTATAGATACAACCATAAGTTAATATAGTATAACTATATGATACATCATATAGTTTTGAAGTATGACAATAACTAGTTATTAAGTTAGCTTATTTAATAAGTTATTAGCAAACTAAAAAACTATATGGTATATCCATACTATGGTCACTCTCCTTGTTTTAGCTAGGCTATGAGAGAGTGAGCTATTTATTATATAGATTGTATGTATATTTTTTTAACCTTAAATTCAAGGTGAAAACAAGTATTATAAAACAAGTTTATGTAGTACATCTATATTTTTGGTAAATATATTGCTATTGTTGTTGCTGTTAAAAAAAATAGTTGTATTACTTAAAAAAAAATAACTTAACGTATAGCAGTGTAAAATTAATACAAAATTATACTTTATTGGCAATAACAAACAAAATCTGAAACATTTTACAATAAAAAAACGCCATTTTATAAAATTATAAGATGATTTAAAGTTACGCCAAGCTTAAGGTCAGAAAATACCAAACGTAACTTATTTTGCGTAAAGTTTGCTGAGCACTTTTTAGGAAAATGTTGTGAATGCCGTTTTTTAGACTTTTTGGGTATGTAATAACTTACGTAAAAACTTAAGAATTTCGTAAGTTTTTGCTTACGCAAGTTTTGTGAATATGACTTTGCGTAACTTTGAACTTAAGCAAAACTTACGCAAACTTTACGCAAATTTTGGACTCACGAAAGAGTAGAAAATCCCCACCCTGAGTTTCTGAACAAGTAAGCCGAGGTTCGATTCCTACCAACGGCGGTTTTTCTTCTATTTTTTTTTTAATTATTTTAAAATACAGAACTTTTATAAAGATTGAATGCAAACATGTAACGTAACGGTATTATACAGTTTCACAAAAGAAAAGATTTTAAGAAGCTAAAAATTCATAAAACATCAACAAACAAACAAAAAAAAGATCACCGGGAGAAAAACTTTGTTGCGTATGTATGATGATTAAGACACTTATGTTATTAATGTGCTCAGGTAATTAGTCCTAATAAGCTGCGGATGGTCTGAAAAAAAGGTTGTCTGAAACTTAATTAAGAAAAACCTTAAAATAAGACAGCTCTGCTACTCCAGAAGTTACTACTGTGGGGGCAAAAAAAAGCTTTAAGCTAGAAACAACTTTAAAACTTTCTTTTGATAATTAAAAGTTTATTTTGCTACATTTACTTTTTTACTATAAATATATACTGCAACTGTTTTTCAAAACGCCTTAATATGCTTATTACGTATTTCAAGAAAAAT